TGGAGAGATGCTGCCAACTAGCGGCAGCCCTCTTTACCTTGGTTAGTAATTTTAATCAAGTACTCAGCACATTACTCACATTTATCATTCCGAAGTCAACAAACTGTGATTACATCAAACATGTGTTATGCATCGCAGGAGGAGCACCAGATCTATCCAAACTTCCTGTTGGTTCAGTTTCTGGATTACCAGTTCCATTCAAAGGCTGTATCCGTCAATTGTCGTTAAATTGGGATCGCACAGCACTAGACCGTGACCACATCACGGCAGCTCGTAATATTGCCGACTGTGACGGTACAGGATGCGGAGGAGATGTATGTGAACATGGTGGAAGCTGCTGGCTAGACAATTATCATGATCCACACTGCACTTGCCCTCAGGTATGACACAACACTGCTCAGAAGCTCTAAATAGTTTAATGCATCAACCAATGAATAACATCATTCTGACGTTCTCTCTAGGAGTATACAGGACTCAGGTGTGAAACAAAGGTATCCTGTATGGAACACGTCTGTCAGAACAATGGGCGCTGTGTGAAGGAAACTAGTTTCACTGCTCGATGTCACTGCCCTGTTGGATGGGGAGGAGATTTCTGTGAACAAGGTTTGTGGTTGCTTTCTTGGCCCCCCAATTATTGAATGTCTGTTTCTAAAAATACCATTTAAATATAACATATGTGATTTTGAACTATCATTCAACTTTTAACTCATTTATACTGTTCATCAGTAACATTCCATTCCATGTGAGGTTCATATACAGTAGATTCTTAATTACATAACGTAATGGAGGAGATAACTGACTTGTGATAACTCAAATCAATGGCTTGACATTCTGATAAATATTATACAATTTGCTTTGGAGTACAGATAATACTTTTTCTTAACATCTATGCAAAACCAGTTTTCTTGAAAGCAGTCTGAATATTTGTGCATTCCACCAAAGAGACGAGGAACAGATGATTTGTTTCATGGAATTAATACTGCTCCTTCTATTAGTTCTATGTTCAAAATATCTGGCCTTTTCAATCAGCACCTGTTAACCAAGGAATGAATAGTAAACTTCAAATCATTTTTATATTTCTCACTATCAACAAGAGTTTCTTCATTTCAATATACAGCTAAATCAGCTGCAGAAGTAAATTCCCTTATCAAAACCCAATATCTGTGCCCTTCCTTATAATGAACTATAGTTCTCTATTATTTTGTTATGGTAAATGCCTACACCATATCTCATGTCACTGTTATTATATATGTCACAGCACAGTTTTTCAAGAATATTTATGGTTTTTACCATAATTATATCGTCGTGGATAAGATAGTGCCTCTGCATTAAGCTCTATCATTTTCCAAAATGGCTGTAAGTAGTTAGTAGCACTGAAGCACACAACAGAATCTAAAATTAAAAGAAAAAAATACCACTTATACAGTGTTAGTAGACTTCACTGTTCACCAAGCTGCTTGTCACTGTTGCACGAAGCGGACGTAAAGTTGTCGCTGCAGTAAGGACTGATAGGTTATGTATGACTGTACTACTTTCATAAATATAAATTTCAATACTATCTTTGCTATGGATGACTTGCAGGCACATATAATTATTGTGGCTCAAACAATGATTATAAACCCTTAACAAAAGGGGGGAAAAAATCTTTAATCTGTTGCACGAAGCGGACGTAAAGTTGTCGCTGCAGTGAGGACTGATAGGTTATGTATGACTGTACTACTTTCATAAATATAAATTTCAATACTATCTTTGCTATGGATGACTTGCAGGCACATATAATTATTGTGGCACAAACAATGATTATAAACCCTTAACAAAAGGGGAAAAAAAATCTTTAAAATAAAATTTATTTGCAGCTGTAACATTAGGATCCCCTCAATTTGGAGGTAACAGTTACCTGGTGGTTGAGAAAGCTGCCCAAGTTGCAAAGCACAACGAAGGAAGTTCACAAGGCAGCACTGATATCAGTTTCCTGTATCTTAATTTTTCAACTGCAGAACCTGATGGAATGATTCTTTGGAGTGCAAAGGTAAATTGCTAATATAACTAACTCCCTGGTAACAGAACCCATAGGTTCAACTCTGACAACCAAAGCCTGCCACCGGCCACGATCCTGAGCCAATTCCATCCATTTGCCATCTCCACAACCCACCTCCCTAAGACCCATATTGATATTATCCTCCCATCGCCTTCTCTGTCTGCCCAGTGGTCGTTTTCCAGAAGGGTTCCCTACTAAAATCCTTGCCCCCCCCCCATGTGTGCTGCATGTCCAGCCCATCGGAGCCTCCTAGATTTCACCATCCTCACTATGCTAGGTGACCCATACAATTCACACAGGTCCTCATTATGCAATATTCTAAATTCACCACTTATTTGATCCATCCTAGGTCCAAATATATTGCTAATATAACACAATTTGTAATTAAATAACTATAATTATACTAAACAGAGTTCATGGCTGTGAACAGACTCACAACTTAACAGGTTCCAGTTTCAATCACACTTCTGCAGTTACTATATAATGAAAATGTTTGAACAAATTCTGTATACATTCTGTGGGTTTAAGAGTACATATGACTTCTTGCAACATGATTTTTTTTTAATTTTTACTCAGACAGGACCATACAGAATATGATTTGTAGACAGTGGTGTTTAATTCAAAATTGTGGATTTGTGACTCAATGTAAAGTTTCTTCATACAGATAAAAAAATGGGTGGAATTGTTGTTTATGATATTTAAAAAATATAATTTCTCTGTTGGATCACTCTGAAAACTTTTATTCTGTTTTTAAAAATTACATTCTTTGCCTTAACCTTAAAAAAGTTTCCCATAAACACTAACCCTAACCCTATTAGAGAAGCACACTTTGTCTACTATCAATATTGGCATTGAAACAAAGACGGCAATAAACTGACATTTCTTTTATTTTTATAAGTGCCACATTACATATATGGTTAGGATCTTGAGGGTAAAAGAAGAGGCAAAACTGCCTTTGTAATAGTACACAGTAGGTCTATTCATCCTTACTGCAATGTAATTATTTGGAGCAAAATACATACGTTCTTGTGCACAAAATTTGTCACACTCTTCTGTTATCATAGCACTTATGTTTCTTCATCAATGACTTCATCAGGTGTTCCATTTTTCATGTTCACTTGTCACATCAAAATAACTAACAATTCCCCAAGGTCACAATGCAATGGTGGCAGTATACATAAGGGTGCTATATTGGGGACTAAATGTAATGTTTGTACCAACAGGGTGACGAGTTCATTGGCGTAGGTGTTGACAACGGTTTACTGAAACTAGTATGGGGAATGGATGGACCTACAGACAATAAGATTCTGATTCTAGCAGCTTCAGTAGCTGATGGAGAATGGCACAATTTAATCCTAAACTTCAGTCCCAACAACATCACACTTTGGGTGGACAGAATCCTGGAACATTCTGAAAGTAGTCCAGGCCATTCAGACAGCCAACCTCTCACCACAGACGGGGTCTTTTATCTAGGTAGGTACCATTACGTTAAAACAAAACTGTCTTGTAAATATACCACTATTATACGTGTTTACATGTACAAAAATGGGTGGACCCTGGGACCCACTGGATAGGAGGCTGGGTGGGTCCCAGAACTGGTATGGATTAAGAAGTTAGAGGATATATCCCCTGCCCATGTCAGGGATTGTACCGCAGTCGTCCAGTCCATAGTCAGTCACTATACTGCACTATCCCAGCTCCTAAACTGAGGCCGAAAATTTGTTAATATTTTTCGTAATCGCTGAAAAAAATACATACAAGTCAACTGGAATGTGTGTGACAATTTTTTTTTTCAACAGTTATCAATAATCATCTGACAGAATTTAAATAGTAATACCTTAGCATGAAGAGTTCTTGAAACAGCTTAAACAGTGTCAATTGTCGTCTTCTCGGATGTAACACTGTGAGGTCTAGCAGAGTTCGTCAGGAACGTTATATAAATGTCATGTTACAATACCAATCCCAGTCTGTAAACTTAACTATGATATGTACATACATAAAAAACACTAGGATTTCCTTGCAAATGTAAGTAGTATTGTGCGATTTAAGCTTCTGAAGAAAAAAAGCCTCATTACGCTTCTTGCTTGGATGGGACTATGTATTATAACAGTGATGTTTTACAGGTGGGTTTCAAGGACAGAAATCTGTTCAACAGGAAACGTCAGGTCACTTCACATCGACATTTACCGGCTGCATAAAAGAATTTGCTTGGGCAGAAGACGCAGTAATCACAGATTTTTCAAGGTACAGAGGTGAAAACATTCAAAGTTGTGATTTTTTTTAGCCACAAGCTTGCAAATCTAAGTCAACAGAGTGTTTGGCCACATGGTCCAAGTAGGGTAGATGGCAACAGCAGCTGAAGTTAGCAGAAAGAACTGGTGCTTCAAGTACAAATACACTGCCACATACAGTGATAAATATTTTCAGCCCATCACTGCCAACAAAATGAAATGGCAAAAAAAAGTACCTTAAAATTTCATATCAAATTTACTTAAAAACTTGCATTATCATTCTACCCATAAATTAATGATCTTCCACCACTCAGAAACAGGGTTTTGATAAAACGCTGCTTTTAATGAGTTTAATATCATGGAATTCAAGAACACAAAGCATCTTTGCTTTGAAGCCTAGAAACTAAGAAGCATCTGAACTGTAATGCTTCTCTGACTCAGCACAGCCTAAGAAAATGATACCTTCATCGACCCACGGACACCATAAAATAGTGTCCCAAAAAGACACATTATATATAATACAGAATATTAACCTTGCGTACATCTTTTTGGGACACATGTAAATGATGATAATTGGGTATGTTGGACAATCAGGTTTTTAATGTAGTTTAAAGTTAAATCTAGTGCTTAAATCAGTAACATTCTGGCCTTATACTTATAACTTTATACAAACATTTGTTGATAAAGCCATTTCATAAAATTCACAAATACCATATCGGCCTTCTGTTAAATGGGCTTCTTAAAACAAATCAAACATTCAGAACAATGAAATCCATCAACGACAAAACATCAGATATGCCCAGCTACTTACACAGGTGAATTCGATTTTAACATTTTTTTGAGATGTAAGAATAACACAGCTATAACAAATTATGAAAATTGTAATGCACAAGAAAGAAAATCAAACTTCTGTTTATATTTCAGTTACATAATTGTTTCAGAGTTCAGAGTGTGTTATTTATTGTGTCTAGTCTGTGCTTTGATAATTTATATTGCATTTATAATGTTATTAAGTTTATTAAATGTTGTAACTAATTACATGTGTATTCTTTGTTCAACGTACCTTCAACACCAAGTACGATTTGACGCATTTTTGGCTGTAAAAGTTGTATTATTTAATATATAAATTTTTCATGATGTGTGGTTCACTGTGACGCTTGAATTATGCAAGTATTAAGCATCAAATGACTAGAAATTGAGAGAAATAACAAGCAAATCATTTACCAATATGCACAAAGTGTAAAAAGTGCATAACTGCAAAGCATAGGCATTCTTTATGGGGCGTCTCCTTGCATGTATTTATCTGTGGTGATTGTCATGTTGGATGCATCAGTCACAATACTGAGAGACAGAATAATGAAATCTCCAAGGCAATCACAAAAGAACTGAAGACAATATTGCAACTAAAAGATGTAAGTACAAGCGTTCATCCTGATTATTGTGTTAAGTCAAGACCTCAAATACTGGGCAAAGAGCAGCAAGCCTGCAGCAGTGATGAGGAACAAGCTGCCTGGCACTGATGACAGAACATATTGCTGTTTATCTGAAAATAAACGTCACGTAAAGCAAACGCCTATTATTTTGTTTTCGGACCGCCTAGCGTGCTGCCATGCTCTGGGCAGCTCTGGCTTTCTTTCTGCAAACTGGGCCACTGCAAATGCGATACAAAAAAATTAAATAAGCTTCGAGAGGAGGTGTTCAAATGTTCTTCTTGCGCTCATAAACACGCGTTGCAGCGCTGCTGGGGATATCCTGGATATTCTTCCGAAATATTTCCATAAAGTTCATGTAATGTGTGGAAATTTCTTTTGTACACTTTCTCTTTCAAGTTGTCCCACAAATAAAACTCGCACAGTGTGAGGGCCTGCAAAATAAGCTGGCCATAAGCCTTCGCTAAAACTCGTCACTTATTGTGGCAATGGAGTTACCGGCTGTGTGCACTGCTGCCGAGTCCTGGTGAAAGTAACCATAGAGTATTTCTTCCTTTATTAATTGTGAGAAAAATCTGTTCAAAATCAAAGTAATATACCTTTCTGAATTAACTAAATCCATAAAAGAAATGGTAAATTATTCAGTAATTTTGTTGCAGTTCTTGCCAGAGAGACCGAAATATCAGTTTGCTGAGCTAGTTTTGCCAGTGATTTTATTTGTAAATGCTCCAATCTTGCACCATTATCGTCAAGTTTTTCTTCAGTCAATATCTAGCACATTCTTATTTTCTTATCTAGTACCAAACCCATAGGTTTGAATTTATTAAACAAATAATTAACGGTAGTTCTTTCAACAAAAAAACACAGGGAATTTTAATTTAATGACGTCACATATGAGCTAAATCACTCTTTACGTAACTGTTGTAAATGATAATGCATTGCTCTAGTGTACATCTACCATCTTGAACACTAACCATTTCTCAGCCTAAACATGTACGTCACTGATAAAAATACCCCCAGAAAGCCAGTGTTTGATACTGCCAGTTGCAGGCAGCAGCATTGCGTCATACGGTCCGAATACAAAACAAGCAACCTTAATTTCAATGTGATGCAGATAGTTTATAAAGAAAAACATTTATATAAGACTTGAGATTCTCACAGCAGTGAGTATGAAGATATCCGTCTTCTGGGTTATTGCGCTGTGTAGTCGGATATCTTCAGAAACATTTATTATTTCAAATGACTACGACATATACCGGAGCTGTTCTATCACTTGCACTGTAACGATGAACTGGACATAACACGTCAGTTTTGGTTTCTTATATGACTGAGATACAACTTTAAAGTCACATAATGGAGCTGCAAATTTGAAATAAAACATAAAAACTATTATATTTCTCCAGACCTGGAAATTCAGAACTCCTTATTACAATTTAAAAGAAAATAACAGAATGACCATAGTAAATGACATAGATAAAGAAATTGGAATATTATTATATTCTGCTTCACATTTCGATGAGCTTTCGCCGACTTGATTAAGAGCAGATTTTACATTTTTATTTTAAAATTCGTACCTTCTTCATACATTTCTCCATTTGCCTCATCAGCCACCCAGCCGAGGCTTCTCTCAATGGCCATCTTCCATCGGGAATATTTCATGTCTCTTTCTGGATATTGGCAACAGGAAAGACACGATACATCAAAATATTCCACCTTAGCATGTACACAACCAAACAAGAGGACAGAGGTGCACACAAAAGTTCTTTACATGACACACTACTTACTCTTTCTCCTTAAACATATATAAGAATAGCAATTCATAATAAAAGCAGTTTTCTTAAATCTGTTACGTTCCTCTGGTGGTCCAGACACTTCTCACCAGAGTTGTGGAATCGGTAAAAATGCACCGACTCCAACCTCGATATGAAAATTTTAAGAACACTTTCGCTACTGTGTGAGCCGCTGGCGGCCTCACGCTTAGGGACGTTCAACGACATGGTGTGGGAATAATTCTTTGTAACTTTGGCTCTGGTACCTTAAGAATACAAACTGTCAACAAATCAACTGATTTCTGCAATAACCATTAGACGTATATTTAGATATAGCTTATAAGTCTAAAAAGTAACCTGATGATTAACGTGGTGGTGATGAAATCTCTTGTGGTACCATTTACCATTTTAGTAGGTTTACCTTTATTAACACATATTGAGCTTTTATGAAGGAGTCGGAGGTTTTACTACCAACTCCACAGCCCTGCTCCTAACAGTTGCAGAACATGAAAATGAAATCAAAACGTATCCACCACCAAATGTTTTTGAGAAATGTAGTGTAAATTTTAATAATTTTTACCTCTGAGAATAGAAATTGAAATGGACACTTTACAGCTATATATTATTACATGTGTTTCAAGTAGTTTTATAGAAATGTTAATTAACTTTCTTTTACACGACAGAATCAGTTCAGCAGCAATGAGGGAGAAGAATGTTATCGGCAGGATGTTTCCTTACATACTCCTTCACGTTAAAATTTTTTATGAGCTACGTAAACTTACCGTCTTCTGAGATCGCTGGTTTAAATACATCGCTGCCAACACCCTGCAGATTGTTCAAGTCCCACACTCCAATTCCTTCCGCACTTCCAGCAGCCATAGCTGCACCAAGCGCAGTGGTTTCTGTCATAAGCGGCCGAACTACATAAAGCAAAGTGCTTTATGAATGGAGGAGATTTGAGGAAGACGTGACGTATACTACTGCCGATTTGAAAAGTAAAAGTAGAGCAAAATAAAGCTGTCCCACTACACGCCACACACGTGCTTAGGGGAGGGGGGGAAGAAGGTATAGCTCCTACCCATTCTTAACCTTGGCACTCGATAGGGGTGAGCGGTCAGTGTCATGCCCCAGCCATTTAACCTAGCAAAAAAGGACCCCGGTACACACTGGATAGGAGGCTGGGTGGGCCCCAAAACTGGTCAGGACTCAGGAAACATCTTTTGACCCTGCAGAGGATTGAACTCCAGTCTTCCAGTCCGTAGTCAGTTACTGTACTGACTATGCTACCCCGGGCTCATAAAAATCTGAATACGGACCTTCATTCCCCTCAAGAATTTGTATTATTATTGTTATTGTTGTTATTAAACAGTGTATTAATTCCAGTTAACATGTACCTCCCGACAAGCACGTATGCTCACACACACCTACTTCAGAGGATCTGTGCAAATGTGAAGGGGAGTGTTACACTTTCCTATATGGCAAATTAAATTAATCTTTAATACATGAAATAAGGGACTTCAGCTCTGAGGTATAATGCTTCAGCATACGCTAGCTACTGTGATGCAAGGCCAGCTGGACCACATGTAAACTGTAAAACATGGCCAGTAAAGGTAATTTGCTGATGAATTATATAGTAGCATTGAAGCAATTTAATTAAAGTCACAGCAATTTGTAATATAAATAAAAAAAAACAGTATGAGCTGTGATAATTGGTTAATTATCTTGCCTTATATACTAATAAAAACACATGCAGATACACACCTACTGGAATACCACACAGATCTGCTTGTAACTGCATCACGTAATTGTTTGTCGTCATTCCCCCGTCTACAAGAAGTTTCGTAAGAGGGATGCCACAGTCCTTATTCATCGCAACCAGGATATCCCTTGTCTGAAAGCAAACCGCTTCTAACGCGGCACGAACTATTGCTACATCAGTGGTATCTTCTGTTATGCCGCAAATGACACTGAAATTAAAAGTACACAAATCTCCACGAAGGTACTACATCAGAAAAAAAAATACTGAGTCTCTTCCCTGCAGGTTTCAAACAAAAACTTTCTGTGCATTTCTCGTCTCTCCCATGACTGCTACATGCCCCACCCATCACACCCTCATTGACTTGATCATCCTATTAATTAATCTGTGAAAAGCACAAACTATGTGAAGCACTTTAATGTGCAGAGTAGACACTTTATCGCTGCCTTGTAAATAGCTACTAGTCCTTCCAACAAGTTTATACAGATCTATAAGTGCAAAAAGCTCCATCAGTGAAACATACCTGCGAGCATCTTTCCTCCAGAATGGGGCATAAAGGCCAGAAAATGCAGGCACAAAGTACACTTCGCTTCTGTCAGTGACGGACTGCGCAATTTTATCAGACTGAGAAATATCGCCCAATATACGTAAGTTGTCTCGCAACCATTTCATTGCCGCCCCACAAATTGCCACCGATCCTTCCAATGCATAAACAGCATTTGCTGATTTTCCAAGCTTGTAGGCTACGGTCGTTAAAAGACCATGGGTTGACTGAACTACCTGCAAACGAATATTACTGATGAGATTTAAAGCTTTCATGGCAAATGAATGCAATGAAGCCTTCAACCTCAGGTTGAACGAAGGTTTAACCTTTTATGGCACACTTACCATGGCCGTCTTCTGGGTCTTAGAGTCGTGTAGTGTGGCAGAAGCCCTTGTTGCCTCCACCATCAGGGTGAAGAGTAAACCCTGATGATGGAAGCAGCAAGGACCTCTGAAACGTCGGTAAACTCCTACCTGACTACATAGCACTACAACGCAGAAGACAGCCATCTCCGTTACACGCCACCATGAAAACCTCAAAGCAGTTTACTATATTTAGTTAAGGTTAGACTGGACGACCGGGGTTCGATCCCCGACGGGGGCAGAGGATTTTTCCTCTAGCCTCTGCGTCCAGACCAGCTCTGGGGCCCACACAGCCTCCTATCCAATGGGTACCGGATTCCTTTCCCGGGGGTAAAGCACGGCCGGGGCGTGATGCTGACCATCACCCCCATCTAGTGCCGGGTTTAAGAATGAGTTGGAGCTATACCGCAACTCTCCCCCAAGCGCCTACATGGTGTATAGTGGGACAGCTTTACTTTACTTTACTTTTTATAGGAAACATGGTGGAACTGTTGTCTTTTGGGACAGGAGTGGTCTAAAATGAATGCTTAAAAAAAAATACTGAGGATCGCATGTTGCAGTAATGAGAATTCGGTAAGTATCCAATACATTTTGTAGGTACCCATCAAAACTATACACCTCCTGCCTTGCATAATGAGCTTTAACTGATTCTTCACGCACAGTTTTGATCAAATTTTGTACTTACAGACAGACCAGTGTTATACAATAAGAAGCATCCAGTGCCGTAGGTGTTCTTTGCTTGACCCTGTCTGAAGCACATCTGTCCTACGAGAGCCGACTGCTGATCACCTAAACACTGAAATAAAACTACGCCAGTTCAATATTTCTGACAGCATTTACAGTTACATTTCCATCAAGTAAATTAAATAAATCTTCGATGCCTGTAGGTGTTTCACACACGTTACAGAAGAGACAAGGACAAAAAAGGAGCTCATCTGATTTGGGGGGGGGGGAAAGGATCTACTTGTCCAATCAATATTCCAGCCTCATCACAAAAACATAAGCACACATTTTCTAACATACTACACTGTTCTTAATTACCCCTGATATTGGCACTCCTTGCAATGACCCATCAGTCAAATAGCCATAAATTTCTGACGAACTTCGTATCTCAGGTAACAAGTCCATTGGAATACGAAAAAACCTAAAACAAATATGTATTTTTTAAAATGCTGCTGAGTCAACCTTTATACACAGAGATGTCTCTGCGGGGATGCTCCTACAGAGACGTGGTACGAACGATTACTGATAATTCGCTGCGTATCACTTGATGAATTTTAATTTTGTTCTTACATAGTTTACGATGTGGAAACATTACTAAAAAGGGCATAAGTAACAAAATAATCTAGTTTACTGCTTTCTTTATGCAAAAATTTTAACATTTCACACCTTCACTGAACTTTCTGGACTTCATATAGACGTCGTAAATAAATGATCGCTAGATCGTATGATAAAAGTGACGTAACGAAACAAGATGCCCGTCTTCTGGGTTGTAGCAGAATGAAAGTCTGAAAAAAAAACATTGATGAAACAAACGTTTCTGTTACTGATAATTTATAGGAACTGGACTCTCAAGAATATATTCTAGAAGCCAACATACTTGCATAAAGTTGAATCCCACTGTAGAGTCTTTATATTCATGAGCATTGTCCTAGACGCATTTGTGACATCAGTAATATATAAACCACCATCTTTTCCACCAGTTAAATTCTGTAACGATAACATTAATTAACAAATATATACTTTTAAAAACGCCTTATTACCGTGACAGCTCCTGATTTCTAAAGTGCATGTCTTACCCACAACAACCACGTATCCATAGTACCAAAACAGCACCGCTTCCTTTCAACCGCGCGTTTCACTTCCGGTACATTGTCCATTAGCCAACGGATCTTGACAGCACTAAAGTAAGTACTGACAGGTAAGCCACATAAAGATTTTAAACAGTCCTGATTATGGTCTCGAACATCAACCAGGACTTCATCCACCGTTGACGTGGTACGAACGTCCAACCAAACTTTTGAAATCAAGAAACAAGTCGTGTTTAGAAACGGTCTAAAATATAAATTTATAAGGCCATGCATCAGTCCCTACTTACATATTCCCTGTCATAGAATTTTGCCCTGGAAGTTTGGCACAACAACAAATTTTTGCATCACGTCAGGCATAAAAATCCGCCCGACACAACTCTTAGGACTTCTACAATGACAAACATGTCACGCACTTCAACAAATCTGCAATATAAAAGCTTGCCTAAAACTAAGATAATAATTATAGATGAAAGCAAAATTTCAAAACATTTAATACTACTTATTAACACAGTTCTAAAATATATTCTGACTGCTACAATCTAACCTCAAATTATCTACTTTATTAACACAGTTCTCAAATAAACAATGATCGTCACGTTTCAGTTTTGAATTACCTATTGCATTATATAGTGGCTGTCCAGTACATCTGTCCCAGATAACTACAGTTTCCCTCTGATTTGTAATCCCCACAGCCACGATATCTGATGGATCAATATCTAATTTGTGGAGATTATCAACTGTAATCTCTACACAATCTTTAACAGCCTTCAAGATTTGTAATGGGTCCTGTTCTACCCATCCTTCTCGTGGACACATCTGACGTATTTCAATTTGATGATATGTCAGCAATTCTGAAGTTTCTGCAGCAAAAACCTGAAACATGCAACACTGCATCTAACATACAAAGAAAACAAAAAATATATGGAACACAGCCCACACCATCACACAAAATAATTTACTAATACTAAAAATTTCCTAAAACTTGGATTCCCATATAATACTAAAATTTCCTAAAACTTGGATTCCCATAAAAAAATACTGACCAGGAAGCGGGCACTGCTGGTGCCTTCATCAATAGATCCTACCAGTGGGCCAAATTTACCTCTCCTACTGGACATTTTTCACTGTAACATAATCCAAAATTCAGCGTATCAAAATCTTTATGTGCTATAGTCACATTAACAATTTAAACAGAACACCTAAATGTAAAACAACGGTTGCTACAGAAATATGTATTTAGCAGTGGTGGTTAACAAAATATGTTTTAATATGAATCTTAGGGATGCTGGTTTTGAGGACTGGAAAATGGATGATACTGGCTCCAGACTGTCCCCAAAAGCAGGTTTTGGTATGACCAGTGTTAGTCCTTTATATTCTATTATCAGAGAGTTACTGCGTCTTTTATTTAAGAACAGTAATATGACACAGTTAATCCTAGAAAACAGCCAATAAATGAAACTAGCATGAATTAAATAAACAATTCAGCATGTATAAAGTATAACATTCGGTATCAGACACAAGAAATTCTTCTGATAAAGACTAGATATTATGGGATTCTCATATGCAATAAAACAAAACCCCCTTCATGCCACATTGTGTTGTACTGTTCCACAAACTAACCTAACATATGAACAAAAATATAATATTTGTGCAAAGGCATTATTTCAAATAAACACACAAATTCAAATGTTCCCAATATGCAAAATATATGCTGGGCAGAAACTGACATCCATTCAACACAACTAACTGTGGGTCATTCAAACTTTCTGTAGTCAGTGCTCACAGTTTGCCACACTATAAAACTCACAGATAATACCAACACACTACCAACAAAACCTAATAAGCAACATACAAGATCCTTCACTATTAATAACCACGAGAAAAAGGTTTACAGTGATGTCAATATAACGTAAACGTTTGAAAAGGCTAAAACAGAAAATAAATGGTCATCATCCCTCTTCTGGATGATAATAAAATCAAATCCTTGTACAAATTACAATACAGAAAAATCTAACATAAATTTAACATTAACACGCTTACTTTCTTGCATATCGCAGGCAGCACGCAAGAAAAATAAATGCAAAATCTCTCTCAACAAAAACCCATCAATTACGCTTCAAGAGCATATTATTTTAACTGCAAATCATACTTATTGTTGGATTTTCTGTTAAAATCTTGATTTCATGATCCGATACCTTTTCGGTAGTGTCCACAGCTAGACCGTTACTAACCTAAAATTTTGGCTATTACAACCAGTATTCCGTTGTATTCTTAACAATTCATCTATACCATTTTACGAATTGAAAGGGTAGCCAGATTGCAAGAGGATGTAATAAGAACCCATCCTATAAACGTATAAGATTTCGTAATTATATGTATGATGTTTAAATTTCCACATTATCGCTATAACCACACCACCACCACCATAGCATAAATTCCTTCAAGGATCATCTCCCAGCTACAACGCAGGCTACGACCAAAGGCTACACACACCGAACGTCGTGGGAAGTTTGAACGTTTCGTAGAAAGCAGCTAATACAAACACGAGAATATGACTTCGGAAACAAAAAAAAATATTATATTTTGTGAGGATGGCAATCTTCTGGGTTGCAGCACCGTGTAATCTGGTAGAAGCTGGCCGATGTTCCGTAAAACATGTGTCTAGCACTTATCAGACATGTTATCTTCAGTTACGTAACAATCAAATGCCCATTACGGAAATTATTGATGTCAGTTACAGTTTAAATTCTGTCAATGAAAGTCTGTCTCTTTAAACAATCATTATTTTGCATTTCAAAGTATAGGTAGGACTCGGTTTACGCCGCTTCACTTTTACGCCTCTCATAGATCAGGATTGGAGGATGTGATGAGTCATGACTCTGCCCGACTTTCCAGACACAGAACCGGACATTGTAATAAAACTAAATGATAAACTACGGCCTAAATTTTAAGTAATTAAACAAAAAACGAAATATGTAATGCGACGATATCTTCTGTAGCAACGACCACAAATGGTAATGGAGCTCAACCGTTAAGAGCCATACCATAACTTATTATCAGAAAAGAAGAAAACCAAACAGACTTCTATTCTATCATTTTTAAAGCAGTAAAAGTTTTCTTTTTCTTAAACATCATACAATTTTCAATACGTAAATTTCATAAAATAAAACATTGTTCAAGTACTTTGTGTTGATTACTGAACATCTTGGAACAGAACCTAATGTATTTACATATGTTCCTATTATATTTATGCTTCAATTTAAACCGGGAACATCGGGAACCTAACCCTGGCGTAAACCGAGTCCTACCTGTATATAACATACAACAGGTTTTGATTTGTTTGAAGATTTTTACTCATATATTGTGTTGTGTATTTACATGTACATCATAAACATGGTCAGTTTTATTCCTTCTACTTACTATGACGATGTAAGGACAGCGATTAATAACACTGTAACAATGTATATGGGCAAATTTGCAGTGATTTGGGGATATTGTGGGTATGACGATTTAAATATACAGCAGAGATGTGAGGTAGTAAAGCAGCATGTGCATGACTTGTTTGATGAAATGGTAGAAGAGGAACAGGAACTTACTTATAACAAAGATAGAACAGCATCTGAAACAGATATCAGAATTGAGCATGGATCTGAACATGGCGAATCCTGTAACTGGTTGTGAAAATCTGCCATTGTGCAATGTTGAAAGGACTCTGCGATACAACTTAGACGAATATTGCCAAATCAAAGAGTCGCGTGCATGCAGATTAGCAGATCTGCAAAGGAAGGAAAAACTGGTTTGTGATGCTCTGGGTATTGAGCCACTGACAGGCTTTACAAATCAGTTTCCCACTGAGCAACGACTCGATGATTTGGAAGTACACATCAAGGAGAGAAATGATGAACAGCAACGGTTGATGCAAGCGTATCAAGAATCAAAGTCGGCAATCATTGCAATTACGGAAATTATGCAATGGCAAAATTATTAGTAATGGTAATGGGTTGTTTGAGATTGAAGCAGTGGGGGTCATTTTTGTGTAGTATCCCAGCACTTGCCTGGGGAAACCATGAGAAACGCAAGGCAGGACAGCTGGTATCGAGACTGATCGTCAAAGCAGGTACCCATAAACACAAAGTAGGTAACAGAGCCTTTTCACTATAACTTAGGATGCGTTTACGTTAACAGATTTTAGCGAAAGGCAAACTACATAATGGGAACACTAGCCCATCACACAGCCTTCACGAGCTAATACGATATAACGGCAAAATCATCGCAAGGAACCTCATTGGGCCTACAACTCGGATGTAGGGGAGCTAAAAACGCCAGATTAAGAGCTAGCACTGTATGACAACTCTTGTAGCAGCTCGCGCAAAATCATTACTTCTAATCAGTTTTCTGGAGAAATTTTGGCAGACTTGAGCAATGGTAATGGGACATGAGGGAAGCCATTTGTCCGAAACATCACTGCTGTGCTCTTTGCCAAGTCAGACGTCTAAATGCCGAGACCAGTTCAGATTTTGGAGTGCCAGTAGTGGTTCGAAAATACACTGTATTTTGGGGTCCCGTGGGGGTACAGACCTATTTTTCTGTGGGGGATTTGTATATTATCTTATATGAGACTGAATTACAGCACTCTTGCCTACAGAAATGAATTTAGTGACACTTAATAATACTTTGTATAGCATTAAATGAGATGTGAGCAAAATATGAATGACTGGCCAGTAGATGACTGTTTGCATTACAAGGGGCTATAAAGACATTCGAAATAAATTATAAAATGTTAATTGTATTTAATTTTGCGGTCAGTGAATTTTACTAGAAAACGCGTAATAAAATGCAACAGTTAACACAAAAGTGAAATAAATACAGGCCATAGAACATAAGTAAAATAAAACTAACCTCTAATTTTATCTCAACTAATAGGTGTTGGCACTTGGAAATAATATTTAACTCTCAAAGAGTGTAGAGAAATGAAATTAAAGGAGAATGTTACGATTTAATAATCAACAAACGTTGATTTATGCACAGCCGCAACACCCATTCATGTACTCTTCCAATAAATTAAGACATCTGAAGCAATGAAATGGATAATGAATACATGGATGAGATGCTCACAAGCTGCAAGACACACCAAATCTGTCTGATTAATTTTCAAGACTACGCAGAAAATTTAATCGCGTAGTCTGCTCATTTCGAGTAACACAATTTAGCAGAATACTTTAATTATCACGCAGTCATTTAATTGGTTCTTTAATACTCTGATTTACCACTTTCCAGCGCAAATGTTTCAAAATTGATATACATTATTAGTTACTTAATATTATTCTTAACGTTAAAATAAGCTTGACACAAAATAAATAGGAAACAGATTTGTTTTCAGGTTCAATTGAATGGTTCTCTGAACTGCGAAATTCAGAAAGTAATTGAATTAAAAAATGTGAACTTGTATTTAAAGCCTCCATTTATACACTAAATAAACCTACATACAAATCTCTTTTATATTTATTTGTGCCAAGCTTATTTTAACGTTAAGAATAATATTAAGTAACTAATAACACACATCAATTTTTCATACAGTTATTCTGAAAAAGTGGTAAACCAGAGTATTAAAGGACTACGTAAAATGATTTCAGTAACTCATATTAAGGGCTGAATATCTACCTCATGACACTCAACAAAATCTTCTTCCAGATACTTTTAACAAAATAACAATTTAAACATGGCTGACAACCGTACCGATTATAATAATACGTAAGGGATTAATACAACCCTGGCCACGCATCTAAATCTCTTCAAGTTTTGCCTGCAGGTTTCTGTACTTGATAAGATGAAAAATGCTAAAATATAAAGACCAATCTATTCTCAGTAGTAAACGATTTGGGGGGTAATCTTTTATTATTTCAGTAACTTCTCATGTCCTTTCACTTGGGATGCTTTTCAGCAAGATTCATAAAGTGAACACACAAAACGTTAGCAGTTACGTTCACTTCGTACTCAGAAATAAGTAGAAGGTATATAAACATATTCTTATCTGTTCCAGATCAAATCTGTGTAATTTCTTTTTGCCCACCACTCCGTCCATCTCGGGAGTCTCGATTATCCCGCACGCGCCGCTTCTAGCAATTTATTGAAGTAGCCTGCACCCATATATTCCACCCGTCTTCCACATGTTTCTACGATGGACTTTCAGATTCGAGTTCAGCGCTGACAACGCCTTTAAATTTGCCTCTTTCTCATTATTACAGACGTTTTCAACAACAAGAAAATTTAAATCATGAGCATACTGTGAAATATAAGAAAATGATGTTCCAGTAACATTTTTCATACAGTATATGTCAAGGTAGTGCAGAGAAGAACAGTGTTTCACGATCGTCTCGATACCCTTGTCCGTGATGCCTTCAATAAGAGCAAGGGAGAGCAAATGAATCTGTGAACAATGTAACGCGATAATTGCTGCGCAATCATCGTTGATACAGGTGCATCCCGCAAGACTCAAATACACTAAAATTCCCAAGTTCCTATTTTGGAACAAGGACAGTAATGTAGTAGAACACAAATGATTCGCTTTGTGTAGTCGCAGAGATATTAGATTTGGCAGAGTACCAACAGCAGTCAGACCAACGCAGAAAAGGTACGTCGCCTTATGAATATGAAGAGACCTCAGGTTGACACAGAGCGAAAGATCCTGTAAACAAAAGAAAATGTTTCAGTGCAAATTTAGACGATTAAGCACAAACCAATTGATCATGAAGGTAAACGATTATTTTGCTGGTGCCAAGGTATACAAAGAAGTATTGAGCTCTAAACTTTCAGGAAATAAAAAAAAATTATGATGTCCTTACAAATCGGGTTTATTGATTCAAAGAAGAAAATTATACAAATGCGATTCAAGAATTTAGACATCAACTTACGGCCAAAGCAATAGATTTACTAAATTACAGGATCTAAAGCATCAATCACATTTTAATCGACTTTTTAGGCTCATACCCTCTTACGATGGCACTGGCTATTTCATAACAGGTGCGTGCATATAGTCTCCTTTTCTTGGGACGCTAATGAAATGTCAACATCAGTTACATGTTCAGTAAGAACGTGCCAAGCTTCATTGCGAAGAACAGAGCCACCTTAAAAAAAAATGAATGAAGCCTACTACTGTAAACTTCTGTTCATAATCATTCTGTGCGCCTCAAAATGACAGGTCCCCGGTCTGAGGCAAGGAAGCTCTAAAATTCTATACGCAACTATCGAGTTTGTATTTTTGGTGCCTTTGTTAAGTTACCTAATTATTTACATACCTTGAACACATCATCTGTCAATTTAGAGGCATCAAACTGGAGGTGCGTGAGAGTTTTCCAGCGTTGCCGGAACAAAGTCTGGTACGCATTCTCCCACTCTTCCTTCCGACCACAGCAACATTCTCCGCTGAGCCAAAGTCGAGCGAGACTGCAACACTTTGTGGCGATATTCTTGATGTGCTTCGGTTTCAGAAAGTGGTTGAGGCTTAAATGGAGGCAAGTGAGGTTGGGCAGCAAGAGGCCAAGGTCATGAAAAAACTTGTCACTGCGAATACATAACTCGTTTAGTTTGAGGGTTCTTATTTTTGGACAACACTTGATCAGCCTATTCAAATATCTCGCTCGCAATAATGGCCAATCCCAAGAGTTCACAACTTCTGAGTTAGTACATCGCTTTATAGCCACTGATTGAACATGTTGATTAGTTCTACATAACTGACACAATAATTCATCCACGTCGTCCCTAAAAGAAGCCAACACAAAGTATTCATTAAAATCAAGATCTCTTGTTCATGTTTCAGTTTTACAGGTCAGAAGAACAAAAGAATAAACAAATAAAAACTATGTAAAAATAATGTTTACATACGAGGCGCGTCCTCAAAGTAAGTTTCCCACTCGTCCCACAGCTAGCAAACCTTATATTGCGCGAAGCGACTGTGCGTACGTGATAGAGCAATGACGTAGCATGGCGCATGCACTAACGGCACCTCCCGCGTTCTCACAGTAGCATCGTTGCAGCTGTTGAAGATGGAGGTTCTTATTCCAGCCCCCGCCGACTGTGAAGTGCGGTCAGTGATAACGCTAGGCCGCACACGGCTCGACAGACAGCAAGTCTCCTGCAGGAGTTCAGCTGGGAGGTGTTTAATCATCCACCCTACAGCCCGGACCTCGCTCCCAGTGATTTCCATCTTTTCCTACACCTCAAGAAATTCCTGTCCGGTCAGCGTCAGCGTCAGCGTTTTGAGAATGACAGAGAGGCGGAGATGGCTGTCACACAGTGGTTCCAATCCCAGGCGGCAGACTTCTACGACACAGGTATTAAAAGTTGGTCCCACGGTATGACAAATGTCTCAATTCCGGTGGCGAATATGTTGATAAATATCTGGACACTTGCTGTATCTGTTGCAATAAATATTTCCATGAAATTGTGTTTTGTTTCTGTAAACGGCCCCAGGGAAACTTACTTTGAGGACGCGCCTCGTACATGTGTGTGTGAATTACATAAAGTACTAAACACAATTTCTTTACACATACCATCATAATTTTGTGTGTCTTGTTACAGTTGCTACCGTGGTATCGAAATATTTCATGTAGTCACCATTTTGTTATTTTACACTTTCCTAAAAATACCTTGAAGAAAATTGCATAATTCTAAGAAAAGTAGCACTGCACAAAACCTGAATACTTATCTATAGTTTTAAAAAAAATGAGTCTAGAATCGAAAAGGCTCCAAGTGTTGACGTCGAATAATCAGGACTCTACTGTAATTTTAGATGTTTTATCAAGTCTGAAGAGTTAGGTGTAAAATGTAAGACTTGAGGTTCTCACAGCGGTGAGTATGAAGATATCCGTCTTCTGGGTTATTGAGCTGTGTAGTCTGGTCGATGTTAACCATTGGTCCACTCCCATACCTGCTCCCATTGGCTCGGGGCAGGCTACACCTTTCACCTCCCGGCCTATAAATCCAGCTCCTCACACCCTATTGGCATATTCATCGCCCTGATGACGGAGGCAGTATGACCTCTGAAACGTTGGTTAACATCGACCAGACTACACAGCGCAATAACCCAGAAGACAGATATCTAGGTGTAAAATGTTTGTACCTACCTACATGAGATGATCAACTCAGACAGAAGAGGGGATTTTGTAAGTAGACATTTGGCTTTCTCTGTGGATATTCCATCCCCATTAAAACAGAGTTTTCGCCACAGGACAGAACTGTGAGCAACAGTGTACCAATGTTTACAAACCGGCGCAACTGCAGTGCTCAACTCCCGCACATCAAAGTAAGAGAAGATCATAGTTAGCATTTCATTTGGAAGTCTCATAATAGTCGGTTCACTTATAAAACGTCCCGTATTTTTTGATAATGTTTGTAGTTCTTGGCTAAAGGTATTAACATTGATTTGAGGCCAGCCTTTAAAATTCTTGCTTTCAGTATAACCTGTTCCGCGTATTGACGAGACATTCTCTTCATGTGAAATATATATAGATTCATCATGTTTCCCACAGTTATTGAAATAAAAAATTGGTCGATTTCGCAAATGGTAGCAAACGTTTTCCTGTGGTAAACTGCTGCTGGCCGTGGTATCATCACAATCAGTTTTCTCAGACAGCTCAGAATCCATCCTAGCTTCTTCAGGTCCAACTTTATTTTGATTTTTTGTCCGTTTCATTTTCTGAAAATAAATTATCATTCATTATCCACATCACACTAAATCGGTACACAATCGGTCAATTCAGTAAAACTTTATACATCAGAGATTAATTTTCTTTTGAACACTCTAGTTTAGTACCTAAACTTACTTGTGTAATTTATACAAGCAAATACTAAATATCAGTGCTCACATTATAGTGATGTCTGAACAATAAATAAAGTTTGTATAAACTGACACAATTGTTTTCAAAATCAATTAATTATAACAAGTTTCTATTTCCTCACTTCTAATGAGTTTGATCAGCTATAAAATGAGATCTATGAAGTATAATGCACATGAATTATACGATGGCATTTAGCTCAACAGGAAAGTCCTAAAATCATAAACAGAGCCAAATTTATCGGCTCTAACTCATACTTTGAATGACCTTTTAACGAGCATTTTAGGCATGCACTGTCTGTAGATAATATTGTTCTTCAGCTTGAAATATATTCACCAACAGCTTTATTTCTTGTAGGTGCATTTTCTTTGAATATGTTCAAGTACCAATATATGGTCTATGTTGTACAGCTGGTCAATTTGCTTAAAATGTTTTGGCATAATTTGGTTGTCACTTACATGAATATGAGAAACTAACTCAAACTGATATCATTAGTAAGCATATAATACTGTGTGGTCACTTTATTCCCACCAGTAACTTTATACGTAAAAACACTATAATTTCATCCAAAGTTACAGGTTTGAAAAAATTCTCCTTGAGTGTTGAATAGAAACTGGTATGAAATATGATTTTATAGAACTGTAACACGTTTTCCACCAACTATTAACCAGTGATCACAGCAGCTCATCACTTTCACCACTGCAATTATTATCACTATATATTTTCTATTTCACTTTCAGGAAATGTCTCAGGAACTTGTATCTTGATCACTGTCTTCAGCAAAATCTTCAGTTTTGGCACTGACGTCACCAATATCACTGTGTTCGTCTTCAGGACGTGACATAATCAGCTCAAAGAATTCTATAATGTTCCTTGCTTTGAATTGTCTTCTGAACATTCTGTTTGGAAAAAATAAATTTGAGGTTATGTCAGGCGTGACCCACTATATAGTGGTTAAAAATGGTACTATCGCTTGCTTGCACTCTCAATCACATAACATATCCACAGTTTTAGATTGTGAATACCTATTGCTTGAATTAATTTGAAACGAAATATCTCAGAACTTACCTTAAAATAAGATATACCAACCCAACCGTAGACACAGGCTAACCTAAGTATACGTCCTCGTACACGTATAACTTACAGAGTTGTAACATTATTGCGCAGAAGGTTAGAGAGGGCAGCACCATAAGGACACATGGCAGAGGGAGTTCAAAGTTCTAAATGAAACCACTGTGCTTGTAGCATGACGATTAATAAAATCTAGGTGGTTTCAATTATTGATGCCACTGTGCCTCAAAGAGTTAAGTGATATGACTATGGCCGCGTTTTGAGGGGAAACCAAACAAACAATGAATACCGTTGAAAAGCCCCATCACATGTTGATTAAATACTCTCGCTTTACCAGCCGCGTCAGGTGGCTGAATGGTGAATGAATCATACCTTCTGCCAACGTTTCGAGAGTCATCTCTGCTCTCATCCTCAGGGCTGCTGCGTAACAAATCTGGTTTTTGTAGCGCGCTCGACGATGTTACGCAGCAGCCCTGAGGATGACAGCAGAGATGGCTCTCGAAACGTTGGCAGAAGATATGTGAAGAGAGATTTATACTTCCATCTTGTTTTCATCATCATGGAAAAATGCATTGTGTGCCCCAAATACTTTCCCTGTATAGGAAACCACTCACCGACACAGTATAAATGATTTATAAAAACTAATATTTATGTTTACAATTTTTCAGCATCTGTGGGATAGCAATAGTGGGATGGAGTAAAAATCGAATGTAGCCTACGAAGTATTTCCACGTTTGACTCTAGATGGATTAGGGAACAGGAAGGTACATCAGCGAATTAACCTGTGCTTTAAGAATGGCTGTAACGATCAATGCTTTAACCTCTGCACTGGTTGAAGATCAGTCTCAAGCTCCGGCAGCTTTAAACCCAGGGACAGAGTCACTACCACCCACTTTGATAGGAATCTGGATATTGAAGAGAATTTTATGAATTTATTATCGCAGTCTCTATAACCAGTTTGCATTATTTTCATAAATGCGTTTGATGCAACGTTATTGAACACGTAACTGGCTACGCGATTTAACAGTAAATGCCACGTAAGTTAGTCTTTACGTTATTAAATGCAATTATATAGATTTGTTTCGGTTGCTACAATAATGGAACTGTTTACTTCTAAAATTTGCACATAAATTCAGTGATTATTCTTAAAATAATTTCTTCTCGGACTACCAGCAGTTTCAGGTGGTTCAAAGGCGAGAAAAGCCAATTTATCGAGGTCCATCTTCGTCCTCTGGGTACTTATCGAAACTTTAGTGTCTGCCCCTTTCAACCACCTCATACGTCTGTTGTTCTTAGTCGTCGTAAAATCTTCAGATCATATATAAATTCATATAAAAATAAACAAATAATAGACTGAAGGAATTAAAGCAGAAGGTAAAAATATAAACAAACATTTTCAATGCGCAAGAACTGGGTTAATTAAATGTTAAGTTAATGCTTACGGGATTCCTAAAAAAAATCAGCAAGTCTACTTAATTTTTTAAAGTGTTGAATATACACGTTTCTCTTACCTTGTTTACTTTTAAAATGTTTTTACAATATACATTTTGGTCTAACTTCACGACTCTCACTGCTATCATTCATACCCATTAACCTGTCCCTGTCAAGTCTAGAAGAATACTGCACAAAGAAAACTTATGAGCATTAATTTCCACAGATGTGCATTTCGGCTGGCGAACACAGCGACTCTCTCTCTCTCTCTCACACACAAATACTGGCAACAATAAACAGTTGAATTACTCATTCAACAGAAAAATTTATCTCCTTGCAAAAAAACTGTAAACAGGGTAATGGTCAATATTTTTGTTAAAATAACACAGAGGGTTCAATTTAAAACGCAATTCTACTACCACCATATCTGTACCTCACGCACAAAACAACTAAACCAACTGCAACACTGAATTTTTAAGAGCCGTATCCTGTTATTACAGCTGATGCACTGGTTGAAATCGGTATGGCCTAAGGTCAAATGTTTCGTCGCACACTTCTTGTACTCTGAAATTTTGTTAAAACTTGGGTTGTGGGTACAGTGGATGCATAGTCTAAAACGTACGTTGTCGTGCTTACTGGTCATAGTAAAAATATATCAGGTTTTAAATGGAGCCGGTTTTTATCGTACGATTAAATATATGCAACGAGTGTTTTTTATGAGAACCTCAAATCCTACAAAAAAAAAATTTTTACATGCTAATCGGGCGACCAAATACCTTTAAGAAAATATTCCGAGATGCTTATACAATCAGTGAAGGAAAAACCATTCTGGAGCTAATCAAGAGAAGATTATCAGAAAAGCTATTTGTCGCAAAGTTATGGGTGGAAGTGCCTGAGCAGGATAATTCAAATAAGAAAAAGCCCAGACCAGCCTATGCTCACCCATTATATCAGTAAGGTCTATGTACCTATTATAAAACAGAGCCTTTGTAACAGTCAGAAATGGAGGCATCTAGAGCAGTGGTATTCAACCTGGGGTACGCGAAGACATCTTAGGGGGTACGTGAAATTTAAAAAAAATATATTATTTTATGATAAACACTGAATAATCAGTAATGCAATTTATTTAATTTATTTTAGATGTGGATTATATACTATGTATAACTTGAATTAAACACCAACAACTTTGGGGGTACAAAGTTGAAGAGAAATTATATCTGGGGGTACGCGAACAAAAAATGTTGAATACCACTGATCTAGATAACCAGAAAACTGAATAAATGATTATATTCCATGGGGCAAATAAAAATAACCAAACTTTTTAACTTTATTGATGTTCTATCAGAACATTAACAAATTTTAAAAAATTACATTATAAAGTAACAGCCAGAAATTCATTGTATTACACATCATTCCTCTTTCAGTAATTTTTACGTATAAATTCCCTGGAACGTATATCTGCTTGTCTCACTGGTTCTGGAATTCTGTACTTGCTGCAATGACACACAAGCCACGCTGCTGTATGAAGGCTGATCTTGTGCCCTACGGAGACATACATTGGCTTCTTGGACGAATCAGACGTTTTCACAGCCTGGAATGCAAATCATAAGGTTGCTGTTGCTCGAGCTTCCTACACAAAAAGTTTTTTAAAGATTCACGAACCTCCACGCCTAAGTACTGTATATTGTGAATCGGAAAGTAGGGAAAATGAAACGAGAATAATAAGTAGGATTTCAGGTTTTCACGGCGGTGAGTTTGAAGGAGGCCGTCTTCTGAGTTGTTGTGCCGCGTAGTCTGGTAGAAGTTTACCGACGTTTCAGAGGTGCTCGCCGCCTCATAGCCATGATGACGGAGGAAGTAAGAGAAACAGGAATATTCAATTTTTACCTACCTCACAAACAGGTCACTGAATATGAAGGATGTCATACATAAACAAAGCTCCACCAGATCACAGCATCTCAAAGTCTAACGCTATCACTTTCCTCATCCGTCATTTTGTTATCACCGTTTATTGGGTACTCAAAAGTATGATTCTGACGTCATGCAGAGTAACATAGCCTCCAAATCAAATTTCATCCAAATCCATCCAGTTTTTCTCATGTTGAATCGACTGGACAGGCAGATGGATAGACACAACTAGCCCATAATGCAGATAATACATAATAGATTGACGGAAACAAGTAGGACTGGAGGATGACACTTGAAACCTAAGTTCAGAAGTAACCTTATAACTGTATATGACGTGGTTTTATAAACCAGCAAATTCAACTAACTCCACAGAGGAGGGTCTTTCTTCATAAGATGACAGTATGCTCAGTTAGTCGAGAAATCCTGTATTCACAAGAGTCTGGCCACAAGGCCCCATCTATGCCTGTATCTTCTGAGTGGTCATTTTCCTTCAGGCTTCCCAACCAAATTTTGTAAAAATTTCTTATTGTCCATACTGTCCTGCTCGTCTCATTTTCCTTGATTTGATCAACCAAACACTGACAAAATAGAGGTTTCATTACGCAGTTTTCTCCAGCCTCCTGTAATGTAACAAACACTCCCACACGGAAGGTAAAATTATAGTTTCTTATTTTTTTAACCTTTAGTGTAAGGGAACTGGGATTTAAAACCTCTTATTATGGCACTACCAGCTAAGACTTTAAAACCACGATGAATGGTTTAACGGCGAGAGGTGTGCTTGACCGTACACAAGCCATGCATTATATAAAAAAAGTTTAAGCATCTATCATTAAGTATGCAGTAACAAGAGATTGTTTTCTGAAGGTTTACAATTTCACCAAAAATGGCATGGTATTTCATCACATGGCGTTCCTAGAGACTGGCATTGAAAGGGTTCAATTGTGCTGATTTCACAGATGTTGTGTACCGCACACGGAAAAACCGTGCAAAGTACTTTGTGTGGGTCTGACAGGTCGGTTGAATAGATCTGATGGATGACTGACCGTCACCTGGTGGAGTAATTGCCGCTAGACAGAAAGCCAGATCAAGACATATATTACACACAAAAAATAGTTAGCCGCTTATGGCATCAGCAGTGGCCGACTTCTAACCGAACAGAGTACCGTCATCAAGATTAAGCTCTGTTACAGATCAGAGAGCGTCTTGTGATGCTCTTGCTGCTGTACATACACTGATCAGAAAGGGAGTAACCTTCCGGGAACTTCTAACGGTTACACTTCTGGTGACAGATAAGTGTCTAGAATACTCTATTGTCTTTCGTTAAACGTGCCCTCTGGCACTGGCCGCATTCCTGGACTCTGACTGATGTTTTACCACTTGTTTGGAAATAGTAGACGTATGTAGTAAGAGTCTCAACACTGTCTCCGTTTCCTTCAAAATGACTTATTTATGGAAGGCGATAACAGCATCGAGAGTGAATAACATCGGTGAAAGCTGAGTTATAACCTTGGGCACAAGTTTCCACTACCATATACATGAATATAATAATAAATATTCTTAAATCAAGTACAAATTCTAATTATTATCAATTGTAGTATGAAATTAATAACACATGATACTCAAATACAACACAGATTTGAAAAATCCAACTTACCAGTCCCAGAGTCTTCCCTGATATTGTGTTTAGTGAAAAATGATCACCACGTTCACGTAAAAGAGAGATCTTATGTTTGTGATCTTCATCCCGCAAAATGCCATCCATGACGAGGAGAGACTTTGCGACACCTACAGTAGGTACATTACAGAGCACACCTGGAAAAAAAACCCGTCTTAATTTTTATGAGAATTATAAAATGACGTTAAGTTTTTGTAGACGTCCACGTCTGTATTTATATATGTCACTTCTACAGTACTAACCCATTTACTTCAATGGCCATTATCAAAAGGTTAATCTAAGATTTGAACCAAATATCACAGAATTTCTCAGACAATGGGGCATGCATGTGATTATACAGATTTTCAACGAAGGTAAAGTTGTTTCTGCGCTAAATAAGGAATTATACCATGAAGATGTACAGGAAAGTGGGAGTACAGTTCCATGTATTCTTAACCTAAATCCCAAGATGAAGGTGAGTCAGATATTCAATACAACGTACAACAGCACAGCAACACTCTTAGATTTTATTCCGTGAAGAACAGCATTTATAAACCAACAAATGTCAGTAAGTATTTACATAAAACAGTAATGTTTTAAGGTCAAACCTTTGCAAACTCAAATATATATGAATGAACTTTCAACTAGAACATATAGTTTTCATGACCCTTAACTTCGACATTTTAATACAGCTCATAAACTCACCAATATGTGAAGCAAGACCAAAACCACGCGGATGTAAAATTCCGTTGCCATCCACCAGAACGCACTCTGGTACAAGACTTGGATTAGTGTAACATAACCTTGAGAATGCTTCAATTAGGGCTGGGGCTTCTCGAAAAGCGAGGAATCCTGCAAGAATAAAAGAAACACAAACGCACAACACTGTAACTTTTAGAAGAAGGAGGTTTCGCCTTCTAAGCATCTTCGTCTAAACCGCCTTTCGGTATTGGCCAACGAAGCTCAGGGTTATGTAGGATTTGAGGTTTTCGTGGCAGTGAGTCTAAAGATTTCTGGGTTGGGTGATCGCCCTAATAATGGAGGCAGCAAGGACCTATGAAACATCAGTAAACTTCTACTAGACCACACGTCACAACAACCCAGAAGACAGCCATCTCCAAAGCTCAGAGTTATTTAGCATGCATTGACACAATATATGATGGGGGTTAGTGACATTGTGACATGATTTTAAACTGATACGTTTTCATATAAAATAGTCATGGAGTTTACATATGGCTAGTGATATGGGCATACCTGGTTCGTACGGTGCGGTTAATGGCACCATTTTTACGTCTTCATACACGACATTAAAGTCAGGGTATTCACAAATTACTAGCGCTGCACAAGCAACATTCTCATCTCCTTTGATGAATGACAAATCCACACCACCGACTCTCGATATGCATCTGTACAATATTATAGATATTCCAAGTAAACAATTACTATATACATTAATTTCTTAAAATTACAGTAAAGGCTTCACGACCATTTTGAATTTTTGCCAGTTTGTAAGTCTGAGTTAGTTTCATCAGCTTCTGTAGTTTGAACAAAAGGTAATGAAATAAACTACAATGGTCTCCACACAACATGAAAAATTATTAAACAGAATTCCTTTTATTCACACCACAGCTTTCTTTTATCTTACTTTTCCTGTTACAAAAAATTAGAGACAATACAATCCTCCAAAACTATAATGACCACCATGACCATATGGAATCACACACCAAACAACAATAATGGACAGAGAATCTTATTGCAGTCAGTTGAATTATAACATATGACTTGATAAAGAGAAATTATGCAGAATTGTCAATGTTTAAATACATCTGCTAGCAAGTAATAACATAAATCTCACTACAAAACACGTCAATAACACTTCTAGTATTATATCTTCACACACAATAATTTGTTTTTATGAATCCCGGATTGTCACATGCTTATGATGGCACCATACTGAACATCATTTATATGACAATCAAGCTCACATAGAAAGGATTCTGAAAACTTGTATTAAACTGGAAACTAAAATTTCAATATTATATACTGTCCATTCATTTGACCTCAAAATAGTTGGCCTGTGTCATCTGCTAGCTGCTATTTAAATCTGAAATCCATGCAAATCATGGCAGCGACAAGGCCCTCAGAGCTTCATATTCACCAGACACTTCTTCCCTACGTCCAATACAAATTATTAAGCAAAGGGCCCTCAAAGCTTCATATTCACCAGACACTTCTTCTCTACGTCCAATACAAATTATTAAGCAAAACTCATTTCTGACCTGAAAACCAAGGGCTACTTCGATCAAAACATTTAAAACCCACAACCATTTTATTTCTTTTACGTAAATTAGCGTCCTAATAGAGATCATATTTTTTTATTTTCCTTACCGTTTATGTTGCCAATCATATGTGTCGGAGCATATGACTTGGGATTTCAACTGTTCTTGTTCATCTATCCAGTTTCGGTTCATGTTTTCATCGTCAGCTAATTAATCAACACAATTCCAAAAATGTTATTATTTATACGTGTTCATTATCTCTATGTTGGCATGTGTCATTATCAACACAGACACTATTAAAGATAACGAACTTGTCATAGATAACCTAGTCTGTTACAAGAAAGATTTATACCACAGCTCACAAAAGAGACATATCACTACAGATTTATATTTAAGTGCTTAATATAGAACACTTGCTTGCACCCATTGTGCCTGAGTGTGACGATGTATCACTAGAGGGCAGGTCATGTAAGGTCACATGTTTGTTTGTGTGTGCAATTCAATTTTTTATATTACACATTTTCGTTACAAGTTTTCCTTTCACTTTTTTGCCGAATGAACCTTCCATATAGACGTATTTACGTCAAAACAGCACAGTTTATTACTGTATGGTTCTTCAAAGGTTGGCTTGATACACATATGTGTTTTACAGTTTTTAAAACCACACTTTTTACTATAATAAAAATTCACTTGTTATTAAAGTTTGCCTGTCAAGGCAAAAAACAAATTCTACTTTTCTGTACTAGGAAGACTTTCCCTATCCAATTATACAACTTTATAGAATATATCCTAGCTTTTAAAACTGAAAAAGCCTTACTATTTGATTTTTGAATTTAAATTCAGTTGATATTATTGGCTGAAGTCATGCCCTCCTAATTATTTAGCCTCACTCTGCAGAGGCAATCCCTAATCAATGGCTGAACTACTACAGATGCTTCCTTCAATGTTGCTTAATGTGAATTATCTACTAATACTAATTCAAACCACAGATGTCAAAGGACTTTCAAATTGACATCTCTAGTTCTTAGAAAGTCACTGGCCTTTCACATATCTCTTACATCCTTCTCTGGCAAAATTTAATCTGTCACTGAGATTTTGGGTTCTCACAGCATCAAATATGAAGAAGGCTGTCTTCTGGGTTGTTGCACCATATAGTCTAGTAAATGTTTACTGATGAGTCCCTGATGATGGAGGCATCAATCACCTCTGAAACGATGGCAAACTTATACCACATTAAGTGGTGTAATGACCCAGAAGACAGTCACCTTCACGTTACATTAAATCATCACAACTTCGAGCAATGACAAGCTTTGAAACTGCTAAACCTTTCACAACTTTGTTCTTTTCAGCTTCATTATGTAATGCCAACATGAAACGGTGAGCTATTTTACAGGATTGAGAAGATAACTAAACTTTATCATGACAATATGTATCATATAACTGGAAGAAAGAACTTGTAAGCACCTTATTTTGTTGAGCCACGTAATTTAATACAGTATATACAAACAGTAACAAATTATGTAAAAATGTTTTCAGATATATGAATAGTATTTAATAAAATGCAAACAGTGTCCTTAAACATCAGAAATGAGTCCTGTGAAATTAACAGAATTGATCTCACTGATTGGTAATTTTAATTCTACCTTATACACATTTACAATACAATGCAATATTTCATATGTATTAATATCTAAATCATATAAAAGTGTTGCATGTTAATCCACTAGCAATAAAAACATTGAAAAAATACTGTACTGAAATATGTGGTAGAGTCAAAATTTTTAATTTTTCCAACAGTCCCTGAATGCAAGGATATGTATGGAAGGCAAATGCAGACATGGTTTGGAAAGTTAGGTTATTTTCAGACCTCTATGCACAAAGATGTTCCAATCTGAAGTTCAGATGAATATTAACAGATAAAGACTAGGTGTAGCACAGAACGAGGAAGCCATGGCCCACGTTCGATAGTTTATACATGAGAACTGTAGGCACATGACTGTTGAAGTTGTAGAAACTGTGTGTAACAGAGTATACACTTTATTAAACGAAATCTTACAAAGTTAGAAAACAACCTATCATTGGTGAGGACATAAAGAACAACAGTTAAAAGTAATCCAGGCATTCTGAAAACCGATGAAACATGGTGCTATATTTTTTTATCCATCCAAACATCAAACCTTACTGGAAGCCTCCCTGATCACCTAGGATGCCATTTTGTTCACACTGCTCAAAGGGAACGAAAGTTTCACCTTGGGAATCTTGCATT